GCACTGAAAAGAAATGGGTTATCAAACCATGAGTGCCACAAGCCATGAGGCTCTTAAGGTTCTTGGGGTGAAGGACCAAGAGAGGATGACAAAAGCTGGGGTCAGGTGGAGTCCTTACCCTCCTGATGGGAGGAAAGGAACTGCCCAACCACTGTAGCACATGTATTTATACCCCTGAAAGAAGAATGTCAATTTCAACCAGCTGCCTAGCAACTTGTTTGCCTGGCTCGCCTGGGCCCCTTGTCTTCTTGGAGCTGGAACAGCTTGTTTACCTGGCTTGTTTTGGGCTCTGTGTTTTTGGGGCAGGCCTTGCTTTAGCCCCATACATGTTATCAATTTCCAGCATCTACCTTTACACGTGAAAAGACAATGCATGTCAGTAAATACAAAAAACCAATCTGAAAAATCTGCACATGGTAAATTCCAACTGTAGGACATTGTGGAAAAGGCAAAACTTATAGGCAATAAAAAGAGGTTGCCAGAGGTAGAGCAGGAGGGAGGAATGAAGAGGTAGAGCACGGAAGATTGTTGTAACAGTGAAACTATTCTTTATGACTCTAAAATGATGGGTACATGTTGTTATACATTTGCTTTCACCTGCAGATTGTGCTACACAGAGATTCTCAATGTAAACTATGGATTGTGAGTGACAGAGATGTGTCAGTGTAATTGATTATAACACCTGAAGCACTCTGCTGGGGGGAGTGTGTGTGTGTGTGTGTACATGTGTGCCTGCCTGCCCATGTGAAGGAGGCAGGACATACCTGGTAACTACTTTTTACTCAGTTTCACTGTGAACCTAAAACTGCTCGAAGAAATAAGATTTATTTTAAAAAAAACATTATGACACTAAAAACCCCAGTTTTTGGGGAATTATTTGGTTATACTTAAAATGTAATTTAAAATAGCAAAATACTTAAAAGTAGAATAAAAGGCAGCCCTTCCAAGGGGGAGAACCAGCAGTGTCTCCTGAGATCCAGGCCATGTTGGAACTTAGGACTCTGGGAAGCCAAGCCAGTACCTCTCCTCCCTGGTAAGCGGAGGCAGGGTGGCAGATGCAGCCCTTCCAGGGGGAGAACTAGCAGTGTCTCCTGAGACCCACACCATGTTGGAACTTAGGACCCTGGGAAACCAAGCAAGCAGTTCCCCTCCCTGCTAAGCAATAGTGAACTTACTGGTGCACGGCCTAGAGTCAAACATCCCACTTCCCCTACCATCCTTCTGCTGTCCCCCCAATTAGCAAATGGGAATCAGAAATCTGAGCATCTCCTGGGAGGTTGACCATAACAAATAAGGGGGACTTCCTTCTACCATTTCTTTGAAGGCAAATATTTTTATTACTTTTTTGCTCTTTTCTAATTAATGGTACTGCTCTATTCAGTATTGTTTTGATAAGTTCTATAGTGTTCTATATTTCATCTCATTTTGATATACGTGATTGAAAGAACAACTATTGTAAAGATAACAAAATATACTGTAACACCTATTACTGTTATCCCGGTAACCTGCTGTGAAGTTCTGTACCAATTTCACTGTACGATCTTAGTTGGCTTTATTCTGACTTGTTCTGTTGTTTACTTTCAAAATAAAAAAAAATGAAAAAGTAAAAAAAAAAAAAAGTAGAATAAGAAAAGCAGGGGATTTAGCTCAGCGCCTCAAATACTTGCCTGCTAAGTGCAAGGTTGTGAGTTCAATCCCTGGTACCAAAATAGTAGAATAAAAAATAAACATACTTTAGTTAATGCAGTTTCTTTTTATTGTTATTATAATTATTTGACTTCAGAATTCACAGTAGACCTTATAAATTCAGAGATCAGTGCTGTGTATATGGAACACTACATGCATAATTATATACTTCACAAAACTGCTTCTGTTCTGATGCTGCTATAGTTAATATTCTTATGCAGCAGTGCTCTCCATCACAAAGAGTGAGAAGAGCATCTTTGATATTGTGTTGCATGGTTCCCTGCCTCACAGCTCTGCTTGTGTCCCCTAGTCAAACTGTCAAGATGTTTCCTCATCAACTGGATAATTTTACAGCTCCCTCTTAAATTTAGTTGCTTTGGACACATTCTCTCTTGGAGGTGCAACCTAGATTCCATAATATACTTAGACATAGTAGATCCATGTTCCTTTTTCCAGCTGGTAAATGGCGGTTACACACTTACTCCTGCACCATAGAACAGCGGCTTCGAAAGCTGAAACGTGCACTGAAGTCCATTAGTTTGGCACAGCAGAAGTCATGTAAACAGAGGGGAACTCAGCCTACTCATATTTGGAAAATTAATTTTTTAAAGTGTTTTTAAAAATCTCTGCAGGTGGTCAAATATTATGAATTTAACACCAGAAATGAAATTGTCATCCTCAGCTGGCCTGAAAAGTTATCTTTGGCTGCTGTACACGTCATGAAATCTTATTAATTATGATTGTTTTTCCTAGTTATAAGTCCTCCTGGACAAATCTTTTTATAAAACATTTATTTTTATCACTTACGTAATTACAAAAAATATTTTCATTGGTATCGAAATGTCATGTTATTGCCAACCCGATTCCATTTCAATTTCTAGAAATTATTGGAAAGTTAATACCCACATTTTAGTAACACCATTGCCACATTATTAAATCATGCATTTGTTCAAATTAAAGCTCCATTAGAATTACTTTTTGATAGTTTTTCCACTTAAGCACTATGGTTAATGATTACATTTTCTCTTTAGACAAATGAATGAAATTTAGTGAATTTCTGAAGTTTTAATAAAAATGATTATTATAGATAATTCTTAATCACTTCTCATTTAACCACAGTTATATTTTAGTTCAGGAATCATTAAATGAATCTCCTGCCTTATAAAGCTTTATTGTGTCTATTTCAGAAAAACTGAAAAAGAATTTTTGAGACAGGGTCTCACTTTGTAGTGCAGGCTGGCCTTGTACTCACTGTGTAACTCAGGCTGACCTTGAACTCACAGTGATTCTCCTGCTTCAGCCTCCCAAGTGCTGAGATTACAGCCATGTACTAAAAGTATTTTAAAAGTATTGTCAGACAATAAAGTTGTAATTCAAGAAATCTCAATCTCCCTAGGCAACATTTTAAGAACATAATTATTTATCTGCAAAGCTACAGTTTTGAGTAGAAAATATGATCTAGGAGTTGCACATTAAAGACACATTTATAAAATTTGACAAGTGAATTTTCAGTAGCAATCATATTTACTATTTTTCTTCAGTTTAGTGGCATCTGGGAGAAGCAGCCAGGTAAATAAATTTGTTATAGTTTTCCAGAGTATATATATTTCCCTGAGGCTTTCCCCCCGCCCCCCGCCCCATCCTGCATATCCCTTGCTATAGAATAGACTTATGCCCCTGTATAATTCATGCATTGAAGCTTAAACACAATGTTGTGGTATTTGGAAACAAGGTATTTGAGAGATAGTGAGGTCATGAAGATATAACCCTCAATCTTAGTTATTTTTCTCTTGTTGCTGAGACAAACTACCTGACACCCAAAGTTAAGGAGGAAAGGCTTATTTAGCTCACAGTTTGGGGGGGGGCAATCTATAATCAGCTGGCTTCAAAGCCACGTGGCAAGGCAGAGGAGCAATGTTCATAGTGGTGGAAGACAGCATGTACAAAGAGCAAAAATGGTGAGAGATTAAGCCTCTCCTCCTCCCTGGTATTGTCAGCAGGATACCTTCCCTTGGGTGGATGTAGGGTTGATACCTTCTCCATGCCCTCCTCTTGCACAGGCTCAGTATGTTTACAAAGTGAGGACCCTGGACTCCTGCTGACTCTCAAGTTGACACAATGAATCAGCCATTACAACTTCCTGGGCAGTCACCCTAGGGCATGTCCTCTACAACCTACATATAGAACTACTAAATTGTGGTTAAGCTTCTAAACAGGTCTCAAACTGACACAATGTATCAGCCATTATACCTTCATTGGAGTATTAGTGCCCTTACAAGAGAGACACTAGAGAGCTTCTCACCCTTCTGCCATGTGAGAATATAGTGAGAAAGTGGCCACCTGCACACCAGGAAGTGGGAACATGCCAACAACCTGATCTTGGAATTGGAGATAACAAAACTTTGAGAAATAACTTTTGCATCATCCACCTGGTCTAAGGTATTTTATTATGGCAGCATGCATTTGCCCATCCCTCAAAGAGAAGAGAGTGAGAGCCTGAGCACACATGAAATGTGCAGTGGGGATTATGGATGTTTGTATAAGTAATTTGGGATTACATGTTTTAAAGTGTCAAGTATTGCTTCTATACTCTTTTAGTATAAATGGAATTTTTGCATAAGGCTAAGTCTAAAAATACCTTAAAAGAGCAGAGTTACAGAGAAATCAATTACAAATTTGTAAGTCAAATGACTTGTTTTCCTGTACTGATCTTATTTTGAAGGTAACCCTTAGAAGTGGCTGTTGTATTAATGTGGAGATTCCTTAAAAAACTGAAAACAGAACTACCATGTGACCCAGCAAAATGACCCACAAATGGTTTTATATATCCAAAAAAATAAAGTCCTATCCAAAAGATATTTGCACTCCCATGTTTACTGCAGCACTATTCACAATGGTCACAGTATAAAATCAGTCAAGATACACTTCAGGGGATGAATAGTAAAGAAAATATTTATTTATGTAATATACTATTCTTCCACAAAAGAGAATTAAATCCTGTCTTTTGAAGCAACATAAAGGGAACTTCAAGTCATCTTGCTAACTGAAATAGTCCCGACCCCAAAAGACAAGTGCCACATACTATCATCATTTATTTGTGGAAAGAAGTAGGTCAATCTTGTAGAAGAATGGGATGGAATAGAATAGCGTCTGCTAGAGACTGGAGTAGGTGGGGTTGGGGGAGAGAACAGAAGTTCAGTAGGGACACAGGAGGAAAGACTACTTCAGACTCTTCTTTAGCACAGCATTGATTAAATCATTGATTAAAATGATTGATTAAAATGAATTCATGTATTTGTTTATTTTTATTACAGGGTCTCACTTTACAAAGCCTACAGTTCGCTATGTAACCAGGCTGACCTCAGACCTTCTGTGATCTTTCTGCCTCAGCCTCCTGAGTGCCGGAATGGTAGGTGTGCTCCACCACATCTGGTTTAAAATAACCTGTTTCAAAATGAGTAGAAAAACAGAATATGAGGTTTCCAACATACACAAATGATTAGTGGTTAAAGAGATGGAAGAAGTAAATGCTTATCCCCCTGATTTGATGTTACACATTGTATACATGTACTAAATTACCCACAGTATACACCACATATATGTACAAATGCATGCCAATAGAAAAAAGAAAAAAGTAGTTGTTTTCAAAATTTGCATTTATATTGAATTTATGGAATATTCTGATCTGGGCACTATGTCTTCCTGTTAAACAAATGTTAGGCATTTGTTCAGTTAAAATATTTTCTACTTCATGACACATTTAGCAAATATTAGAATTTCCATCAAAGATTATATTGCATCCTTATAAGAAGTATATTCTATGCTAGATGTGGCACTAGTTACCTGGGAAAGAGTGTGAAGATTTGCTTTGGAACATTTGGAAAAGCAAAGAGATATTATCTGGTGAATTTTCATTTGCAGCCTCAAATTACATGCCCATCATATCTTGGCTAAGTCATCATTGCATACACTTCAACTATTTCTAAAAATCTCCTATTGAAAGTTCTACTCAGGTTTCTGTTATCTATTGTTCTATATTTTTTCTTGAGAGGGTCTTAGTTCCTGGGATCAAGTAATCCTCTTGCCTCAGCCTGTTGAGTAGCTTGAAGTACTCATGCCATTGAACCTGGGTTACATTTTTATTTTTATAGAATATTGCTTGAAAAAGTAAGGATTAACCCAAGATGTTGTATTTGTTGATTGTAGTTCTATATTATAACTAGATATGTTTGATGACAGAATTTCACTTATAGATCAGAAGGAGAGAGAGAGAGAGAGAGAGACAGACAGACAGACAGACAGACAGAATCTAAAGATACTGTGCCTGCTGAGCTTTGTTTGATGCTGAAGGAAGCGGGCATGAACCAGGAGATGTAAGTTGCCTGTAGAAACTGGAAAAGGAATACATCCCTATTATTTCATTTTAGAGTTCTGATCTCCTGAAGTAATAATACAAACAGAAAATTTTTCTTATTTTAAGTCATTAAGCTTTTGGTAATTTGTTATAGTAGCAAATAGGAAAAGAATACATAACTTAACATTGGTTCTGTTTTCTTGACATGGTACCAGAAATACGAACTTAAAAGCAGGTTAAAATTTAGACACTTGTTTTTAAATCTCTAAAGAAACAAGCATGGCAGTTGTGAAAGACTGGCCTTTAAACTTCTGATAGGTATGGGCACATTGAAAGCTGGGAGTTCTGGGAGTGACCCTTGATTTGTGCTGCTCTTCCTGTGTGGCCCAGAGGAGCACTGGGAATGCTGCTAGAGATAAAGAGACGTGATGCAAGGATAATGAGCAAGACAGAATTTTTTAAAATGCAAAACATCTCACTGATGATTTGAAAGTCCTGATTATATACCGAAACAATAGCTTGGAAATACTGGCTTAAGTACAACATATTAAGTTTCAATTTCTTTTTATTTTTAAAAAATAGTTCTAAGGATATTAGAATAACACATTGAGTGTGGTATGCTGCTATGCTACTGTAAGCAGATGAATTCTCTTTTGTGTTATGGACCAATGGCTACATAAGTAATATTGGGAGAGTTAATGGGTTTATTTTTATATATTTTATGCATTTTAAAACTAATTCCTTCTTTTTTATTAGTTATATCCATTTTAGAGGTTGAGCTCCAGAGATCTCAAGATAGACTGTGGTGAATTAAGTCAGACTTTGAAAAAAGATCTGGAGGGGAAGGCTGAGGGATTGTGGAGAATACGCTTGGCAGCCGAGAGGTGGCATTTTTGGATGGGAGAAGGTAGGGTTTTCGGTGGCAGATGAAAGCGATCTTTGCACATGTTTTGTTGCTTTTTCTTCCAAGGAAAGGAAGGTGGTCTATAAAGATGAAGACATTGTTACTATGAAAACATTAATTTAGGTAATGTTTCTTTGTAAAATGAAAACACATTGTCCCTCTGGCATAAGAATACTCACAGGGAAGGTGCAGAATTAAAAACAGGAGGAAGCTTGCCTGGATAGAAAAGCCTGCTTGGATAAAATCACCCAGTGAAAGCCATTAGGCAAAATCTAAGATCTCTGGGTTCATTAACCCCAGTGTGTCTGGATGAGAGTAGAATAAATGTGCTATCAAACAAATGATTCGGTCAAAGTTACCTAGACTACTGGTGAATTTCTTTATCACTTAGGAATGTGAGTAAACCCAGAGTGATGGCTTTGACACAAGGGATGCACATACCTTTTTATTTGAAGGTTGTAACGGAAGTTTTGAATCATTTGTATACTATATGTATTTATCATCATATATAATATATATTCTTTTCACAAAGGTTCCATGGACAGTTTCCTTTCTTCCAGAAGATTTCATGGACATTGCATCTTTCGATCCTGAAGAAATGTACATGTTTTTTGGAAATCTAGTTAGTGTTTTATAAAAGCATCCAGTTAGTGTTATTTGCTAGTCCGGATTACTATTTATAGGATCCAGAAATCTAAGGAAACTAAAGAGGATGTGAAGGCAATTAAAAGTTATGGACATATACATTTATAGATATAATAAATGCCCTGTTTAGTAAAAGACAACAATTTTGCCTTTGGGCAACTCTATGACATTTTGGAATGCCAGGTGTCACCTAATTATAGGGATTTACAGTTTCAAATCCTGCATGAGTAAATGTATACATTAAGAAAATTAATCCTACCTTTATAGTTACAATAAGTGAGTAAATATTATCAATAATTCTGAGAGTATTTTCCCTTAGATTATTGGAGGTACCCTCTAACATCTTCAGTTCTTAGTTTTATACGTGTGGCCATACTCAGCATCTAACGTGTTAACTACCTAGAGGGATCTATAATCATACGGTAACTTCTGAAAAGGCACCCAGTTTCCTGACAGTATCCTGTGTGTATTAATCATTGCTGAATGTGTAATGGGGAAGTAGGAACATCTTTTCAAAGAAAAGTGAAAGCTAGCAGAGGCTAAGATGCTAGCTGAATATTTATGAGCAAATGTTTTGTTCTCAACAGGTAGTGGAATGTATGTTTCTTGGCTTTTCAGGGATATAAAAACATCCCATCTGTTAAGCTAATTTATCTTTTATGCTTAAAAATAGTTCCTTAATTTTTTAGACAAGATGCAATTAGATAAAATGTACATAGGCAGAACCTGTATGTCATCATCCCAAGTTCAGGACTTTTAAACAATGTATATAGCTTTGGTACTTCATATCTAAGTGCTCTTGGGTAAAGCTGTCAAGGCACAAGGCTGAATGAGGACACAACAGTTTTACCTGCCTTTGGGCACTTCTGGGACTGTTGGCTCCCTAGGGCCATAAAATTTTTATTATTGTTCTGCATGGATCATGCCAGAAACCATGTAGGCTTCTGGGACTTTGGCTGCTTGTAAAATGGCACAACGTTTTTGTTGGCTAAAGTGCAGGGTGAGAATTGCTCATCACCCTTGCAGAGCAACTGGAGATCTTTCTGGGGTCATTGGTTAACCTGGACCAGAGGGCAGTTAATGAGCCAATGAAATAAATGCTAGCATTAAATTTAAATATGTGGCAAAGGATATCTCAAAGCATTAGATGAGCTAAGGTAGGAACTCAGAGAGTCAGAATCAGGGAAAGAACCAAGGGTTTGTTATTTTCTGAGATACACAGAATTCATTATTGTTGATGGAAACAAAGTCAGCAGAACTAAGTGCCTTGAGTAGGTCAGAAGTTTGAAGGCTTCTGGCTCAACTTTTCTGGCCAATCTTCATCAGGTGAGCAAAGGAATTCCTCTCAAGGGAAGCTTGCCTTCTGTACCATGAGAACATTCATTACTATCATAAATAATAATGCAGTTTCTACACATAGTTTTAAAAAGGCAGCTTCTTGGTAATAAATAAATTAGGGATGGGTTAAGGCCACCCACAGAGATTATGGAATTGGTCTTAGAAGATCATAGACTTTGGACTGAGAGGTGAGTCATGGTACTAAATATCTCTTCTTGGTAAATCCTATTACATACTCTTGATTATAAATGATAGCAGTTGCACCTGTGGAAGTGGTCAATAGAATGACAAGAAGTAACATGCAGCAATAATAAAATAGGCCTGGGAATCAGCAAACTGGATACTAAATTATTATTAGTTTCAGCATTACACAGAATAGAATGCCAGAATAGAGTATGATGAAATAGTTCTGTGGAGTTTTATGTAGCTCCTTTGGGTATAAAGAAGAGAGAGTCACCTATTTCAATAATTTAAGAAAAATCTATGTCATCAGCATGTACACATTCATTAGGAAGATCAACTGTCAGAAATTCTAGAGCAGATTTTAGTGGGATGGTTCCTGTGGAAGAAAGAATGGGAAGCAGGAAATGATTTGGAATCCATGACAAGTCTGGAATCCTCTAAAGGAGGAATGTATTAATTTCAATCTCAGATATCTTTAACTTGAAGAGATTATTCACCCAGTCTCTATCTTCCCCTAGCTAACACATGATATATTTTTGCTGTATTTCACAATTCAGAGGAGTCTTGAACTTTTGGTAAATTTATTGATTGGATTATATTTTTGCCTAATGACCAGTCTATGGATTGGTCTTTGGGAGTGGACATTAAAAGGGCTGTTCTTAAGCAAGGAAGTGAATGGACAGCTTCCTGTTGGTGGGATCATAGATATGGTGGTTGATTATCCAAGAGTATGAGAGTTTTCTAAGATTAGGTCAGATATGTTGGACATCTCATGTTCTGATCACAATTCTTTACCATCATAGGAGCACAGGTGGAGAGAAGACAGATTCCCTGTCTATGTGATAATACATCTGAATGTCCATTGAATGAAACTCATATACTTCTCTATATACGACTTAACTTTTTAAAGCTATTCACCTCAAAAAAGGAAGATGGCTTAGCCAAGAAAGTGACAAAGCAGAGACAATCTCACACAAAAAGGTGA